TAAGAGCATTGAAAATTCCCCCAAAGTTGCTTCCAGAAGAGTAAGACCATAGGTCTATGTAAAAAGCGATGACAAAAGAAGACTCAACATTTTTTCAGCTTAGTTTAAGGCCTAGTTGTCATACTCTCGATACTCTCCCGCCACAATTTTTGTCTAAAATTGTCCGTTGCAATAATGTAAATGAATATTCATGATAGACGATGACGCACTTGTTAGAGTTCGCCTCGATTTCGTTTTGAATGTTGGTGGCGCGAGACAACTGCCAGAGAGTTTTCCCGGAGCGCAGCTATTTCAGTCAGTGCCGAGGTCACAGGCACGATGAAGTCGTTTCCGGATTACAGCCGAAAAACTGAGAGTGAGTGGCTACCCAGTGTGGCACTTCACCGAGGAGGTCTTTTCTCTACACAAAGCTCCCAGTGTCGGTGGAATTTATTTTATTTTTGGTTCGCCAGTTCAAGTTTAAAAGATACCCCTTTACTTTATTCTAACTGATAAAATGAAAAGAATGGGAAGTGTATTTGTTAACAATGGTGAGTTTTGGTGTTTGATTAGGCCCTCCTAATGTTGGTACAAACAAGTTTCGCCATTGCCGGTTTGCGTTTCACCCAGGAGCATAATCCTTCCGACAGTTTAAATAACCAAGCGCAAAACGCTCGATCGTCAAAAAAAAATGAAAATGATACTTGTACGATAATGTATCTGAGCAATACTTATTATTATAGACGTTCATATTATGATACTAAACCTACAAATTCTACAAAATCATGACGGTTGATTTAAATAACAAAATAATTAATAAATAGCTTTTGTATAGCACGTACTAGTCCCACTTTACAGCAAGCTCTTACGGTACCCCACGCAGTAGACCCTAAAACACGCAGAAACGTTCTCGGTTTCCAGGGAAGAACTTAATTATACTTCCTATTTTCTTTTTGAATAAGGTGAAGATGAATAGGTGTGGTTAGCTGGTTTATTTCGGGAAAGTAATCGAGTACCTATAATTTGACATTGAAGAAGAGAGCAAGGCAGCAAGGGCAGGCCGAGGCGTGAGCCACGAACTGTTTTAAAGAGCGTGCGCGTGAGTCGCAGTCGAGATGCAAGAGAATTGTCACTCATAACGACAGTGCAAGTGCAAGGTGGATCGCCAGAAGAGGTGGGTGTGTATAGTTAAAGTTAAACCACAATAGGCTTGAATTAAACTAGATCTACATTCAAGTCGGTGGTCTGCATGACAAACTGGCATAGACCAATGAAATATTTAAATTAAGCCAGCGCGCGAACATGACGTCAGCTAGCAGACGACAGACGAGAGTGAGGGCTATACCCACGAGGGAGGAACAGCTAACAATCATTTCCCGAGCCTTTTGTCGAGGAGCCTGCGTGGTGCTTCGTAAACTCATGATGGTGATAAAACATGTAGACAGATGCACAAACTGTTCAGGTATTTGGTTAATCTGTTGTTTGTCTTGATTTCATTATAGCAAAAACTTTCCCGACTTGATTATTCCGATGGATCTCAGACATTAGAGAGCATGGTTCTCCTTTATATTATCTTAGGCTTCAGATTCTGATATATTCTCCTCTCGGATGCTCTCAAAATTCTCACGTTATCCTGATGTTTCGCCGTCACTCATCTGTTAAGCTTTTCCTTGTATTTCTCTGGGTTTGCCCCTGCCTTGTTTACCATCTGTATTCCCAGCGAGAGCAAGATTTGTAAAGCCTATTCGTTGAGTCCAAGTAGGCTATCATAGATTATCTGATTGTCTATTCAATTTCTGACCCCACCGACGATTTGCCTGCTTCTGGTTCTAAACTAGACTTTTTTTTATGTGAGTAGATCTACCGATATGGAGAGATGATCAAACCTAGATTCTAGATCTAATCTAGATTTAGACTCTAGACTTGAATTAGATTATGGTCAAATTCAGAGGGGCATGCCCCCCCCCCTCTCTCTCTCTTTCTCTCTCTCTC